AATCAACCAATTTAATCTGGAATTCTGGAAATTCGTGACTGATATACTGATATCAGATATGCCACGAATAAGTAATAACTAATCTAGAAATTGTCTTATTTTATCGAATCATTATCTTTACCTAACCCGTATAGCCGATAAATATTATTTTATAAAATATAAATTTGGAGTAGGTATATAAAGTTTGTGATCAAACAAAAAATATGTTTTCAAAGATGTTAATTCATTAAAAAAATACGAGAATATGAAATAAAAATAAAAATATAACCTAAAAGCCAAAAACAATTAAAAACTTAAAAATTGTTAAATAAAAGTTTCATAAATGGATTTGTTATAACTTATAAGTGTTATAACTTATAACATAATTCAAATTATGTACTTTGTTTGCTATATTACACAATCAGCTAAAAAAACACTTATCTACAATTTCACAGCCTTACTAATAACACAAAATTGGAATTATAGATAGGTACTGAACATACGCATTGGTTCACTCCCTGATGTCCGCCTATGCTTGTATACTTATTTTAATAATTGGTATTATAAAAATTGATTCGTAATATTATATGCATATTAATTTTTTATAAAGCTGAATAATTTATTTAATTTAAACTCTTCCGGGACACATTGCACGATATTTGTGATGGAATGAATTTTTTGGTGTCACTTATTTCATACCTATACTGTTTATGTTTGAATATTTGACTATTTAAGTATTCAACATTTTACTGCACCGAGGCTATAGCCCCCTTAGCTCCCCCCATTCTACGCCTATAGCTGCAACCTACTACATAGTTTGTAACACATATCTAATAAAATATTGTAAAAATATAATAAATAATAATTAAGTATTAGGTACATCTCGAAAAATATAGAACAGTTGATACTGATGATAAGGTAGATCATATCAGAATTAGACATTAAAATTTAATTAATATCTAATGTATAATATTTATTAAACAAGACATACGTTTATTTATCAGTAGACATAAAAAGTGCATTAGTCATTAGTACAACTTCATCCGATGATTTATAATATATAAATAAATAGATTGCATAAATTAATAACAACAATATTGAAATTAAAAATAATAAAAATATTAATAAATTTGTTTTGCATACCTCAATGGCTACGTGGCTTGTTTTATGTACAACATGTAGCGCACACTATCTAAAATCATGTAATTAATACCTAATTATAGATTTGGTTTTAAATTTATGCAATTTGCAATCGTATCACTTATCGTAATAATTTTCTTCTGTACACATGAGTTTATAGCATGCATTTTTTAGACATACCTCGACGTAGTATAATTTATAATTTTTTGTTGCTTCTTATTAGTTTTATCGGTTGTTAGTAAGCAGTCCCTAAAATGCCCGAATACAATTTAAATTTGAATATTAATTATTTTATGTGATTCAAATGCCATATCATACATTTTTACGGGAAATAAAAAGATGAATAAGGCAACAGTGTTTTTTAATGTTGTTTATTATTTTTGAAAATACCTCTATAGAGTATAGATTAAAAAGGTAAATATGTACGTTACAAATACGCAATTCCAAACAATTATTATTAAATATTGATCCTTATGACTAAGTGATTTTATTTTATTAATCCAACTTTGATTCAGTAATTTTAAGTGTATCATGTGGAACATTGGAGTATTGGACCAATCAATAAACCATAATTTTATAAACATCAGTATCCTATTTTTATTTGTTTCATTTTTATTGGGTTTTTATTGCATTATAAGAAATCACAATTATTGACGTGTTTACTAATAAATATTAAATACACTATGTCACTATATCAAAGTTTAATTAGTCCAATCAATATTCAATATAATAAATGAATAAGGCAAAACCAAAATTATAATGTTATTTGTAATTTAAACATTTATAAAAAGTACTAACTACAATTATTCTGCGTTTTACATCTAAGAAATAGGGAGAATATTTTTAGGAGGTAGGGCACTGTAATCGATGCATTAAATTTAAATTCGATGGTAAATTATTGCATACGAAATATGATTCTGACAATATAATTTCTGAGCGGTGACACACGTGCCTGTGTCAGCCTCTATTTTATTTTTCTATAGATATTTTATAATTTAATTATACTATAACTTTTAATAATTATTAATTATAATGTATTATATAATAATAAGCATTGAACAATTTCCATTTAAATAGCATTAAGTCATAATATGTATTAATTTTATTAACTTAAATATCAATACGTACTATACAACGATGTGAATTTTTTTGTGGTATAAATAGCTTTAAATTAGTCTTGATATTAAAAAATTGCACTGTTTTTGTAAAAAAAAAAAACAATAATATAGATAATGACGTAAGTCGAAAAGTCGCTATGAATAATATTCGATGAATGTATTGGTTTTAAAATTATTTTTGTCTTATGATACTTTTTTAGTGGAACAAATTTTGTCAAGATTAATGACAACAGTGTTGTGAACTGTGAGTGAACAAGTGTTCTACGCAAAAATCGTTTCGACAAAATCAATTATTTTTTCGGTTCTAATTCAAAAATAAATACTTTCAGAGATTTGAAAGATTCATTAAATATTCATGTTACATAATCAGCTTTTACCAAAGATGATAAAATATTCTAAATATTTTGGATCTTTCAGAGCTTTTTAGTTTTAAACAGCATTAACGCATCCCTTACAGCAACTTTCTCAATGTCGATTATAAAGAACACAATAGTACGCCATAAAATTCAAAAGTTACTATACAGTTGAGCATCTTCTCGATATTTTAGAATAACAACCAACTAAAATCGTTATTATTCATTTAAATACCTAATTATTGTATATAAGATATAATAAACGTGATTTGAATTTTTAATCTCAATCAAAAAGATGAATATATATACATAGTACATACTACATATGTATTTTCGATGCTTTAAAATTAAAGTTCGAAAAACATGGGGATATTTTAGGAATATAATTGTATTATAATTACAAGCTTTAAAAAAAAAAAAACTAAAAAAGTTGTAAAATGCCTATCTAAAATTTATATGAATAGATAAAAAAATCTAAAATATTTTGAAAATATAATGGTGTCTATAGAAAATTTGCTATTATAAAAATTGTATGACAATGATTTCAAGTACCTATAATCTATATCCTTCAGTTATTCATTTTTCATTCGCAATAAAATAACACAATCAAATTTTATCTTAAATTGGTATTGCATAAATATTCCCGTTTTTATTTTAGTTATTTTTTGATTATTTTGAAAACTACTTACCAAAAAGTACTAACTAGATCCAATTTTCTTCTAGAAACCACCCTCAAAGTTAAGTTGAAGCATTTTTACTGCTCCAAATGGAATCTAAACATACATGCTGGATTAAATGTGGTATGAACTGAAAATTACTTCTAATGTTAACTTCCATATTTTCATTCTTAATATTTACAAGGTTTTATGCAGCTTTTCAGAATATTTTTTGTTATATACCATGGATTATATAAAATGTTTTAGGTAAATAGTTTTCATATTTAGATATAATTTTAAACATTTCATTTAAGTTTGGTCAACAAAGGTTTGTAGGTTATTAACATTTTTAAATTCTCATAGAGTATCTTTATATAAGTAGTAAATAATAAGTAATCAGTGATAAATTGATAACTATGAACTATATTATGAGGTAATGAAGGATCAATAACTAGTCGATCGCGATCGACTTATCGATCTTTAGAGGAATATTGGTCGATCGTATTAAGAATTAATTATTGCAATATCGGTTGATTACATAATCTTAAGCAAACTTTCAAGTTTTTTATACAAATTAAAGTATTTCTACTTATTAACAAAAAAAAAGAGTTCCAATGAAGAAATGATAAAAGAAGAATATTATTATACAATTCATTTTGAGTCGCATAATATAAGTGTAATAAAGTACCTCGCAAAATAAAAAGTGGTCAATAACAAGGTAGGTACCTACATAAACATTTTAAAGTAGCTCACTTTTTGGAAAAGGTTGGGGACCCCACTATATTAGTATGATATGTATTGTAAATGGGAAACAATCAATAAACATATTGATATTCATTTATTCTTAAAAATAATATAACAATTTAATACATGTATTTTAAATGCTATGTATAAACTATAATATAGTATAGATACTATATAGGTAAGTTCACATTTATACTTGCTATCCATATAGATTGATTAATACATGTAAAATAAAATTCTTGTTAACTAGTGTCTAGTAACGGCTAGTATGGGTTTAAAATAAATTGATTATTTTCATTAAAATTCGCACAATTTTAATGAGTTCGCTAGAATTCCAAATGCGTTGATTGTCATATAATGATTGTCTCCTCAACATAATATTGTATTGTTAATTGTTTTACACCACTGTATTCGTTTAGCATCAGCTAGTTCTGGTTTTTTCGTCAAGTGCATATTTTCATTAATCTTATATTATATTATAATAATAATGTATAATCAATGATATTATTTTTATATTGACAATTAAATACATATATTAAGTACTCATGATTATATTAGTTTAATACTATAATTTTCCTACTTATAGAAACTCAAAACTGGAGATCTATATTAAAACCATTGCATGACACTGCATAGTACTGCAGTTTTCCACTGATATTTGTGCTTATATCTGTATAATAACATTACAAATATATTATTTTTTAAATGTAAGACTAATAAGTAATGTGTGAATATCGTGTATAATAATATGTACAATATAATGTAAGTATACAGTACAGGATTTCCGGGATACATTGATTTCATACATTATAAGAGTTGTTTGGTAAACCAATATCACTCGACGGCATAGGTACATAGATAATGTTGCGTATTATTTAGACAAACTATTGTCTAACCGAAATAACAAGTACAATATATGGAATATGTACGCATAATAATTACTATGCGACAAACGTAGACACCATACTATAAATCTATTCTATCAAATCGTATGTATGTAAAACCAACAGGTCGACGAATACAATTGACCTTCAAGAGGTGCATACGTTCGCACAGTTGTTCGTCGGACTTCGACGAAGAGGTTTTCAACATCAAGGTAAGTACGTTTATTTAAGGTAAATCAATAAATTTTACTCTACACGTTTATGATACACAAATAACGAATTATATTTGTTAGGTACGTACATGATATTTATAGATATCAATTTCTGTGGATGCTTGTAATTAATTTAATTATACCTAATTTTATGTTTTTGTAGAAATGCGTATCTGAATTAGTATTTATTTGACATATAGATCTCAACGTATAATAAAAATAAAAATACGTGCATAAAAAAAAGTTTCAAAGTTGGTAATTTTGGTCAGCTATTTATAATGACGGACAAGGACACCAGAATACCAAGAGAAACACGATGGCCAAGTGTTCTTTATTATTTGTACCTTCATTTTTCTGCTTTGATCGGACTTTACTTCGTAGTTTTCCAATCTAAATGGACTACTATATTTTATAGTAATTATTAAGTTTACAGATAACTAACAATATTTGTATATTTACTACCTTGGTAGGTAACCTATTTTAAATAGTAAATTGCTATCATTTTCGTAGCGATTTGTCTTGTCTATGTGTCTGTCCTCGGCTTAAGTGCTGGAGCTCATCGATTATGGGCACATTTAAGCTTTAAAGCCAGTACCGTGCTCAGAGGTTTCTTGGCTTTTGCACAGGCCTTAATATGTCAAGTATGTACAAATCATCAAAATGTTAATAATATATAAAATATCTTAATGCAATAATATTATTTTCAGGGATCACTTTACGACTGGGTGTTAGAACACCGATTACATCATGCACATTTTGGTACAGAAAAAGATCCTTTTAACCCACACCGAGGCTTTTTCTATGCATATTTTACAAACAAATTGGTAACAAGTCATCCTGACCATGAAAAATTGTTAAAAACTATCGATGTCAAAGATCTGGAGCAAGATCCTATTGTAATGTGGCAAAAAAGGTAAACCTTTTCAATTAAGTTTTCATTAATTATACGATTTTCATGTTTCACTTTAGACTTTACTGGTTGTTGGCTCCATTGTTGGTGATGTTCACCGTGTTCTTGCCATCTGAGCTCTGGGACGAGTCACTTATGTCTTCAATTTTTATAGTTGGATTCCTCAGAGTTACAGTATCGTTACATTACAGCTGGATTTTAAATGCGGCTACGATAATTTGGGGATTAGAACCACTTAACAAGTAATTTACAATTAATCTCGTGCTATTATATTGTTGAAGTAGCTAAAAAATATACTAACAAATCAACATATTTAATTAATTAAACTATAAATAGGTAGTGAAAATTAATTTAATTTCTTATGTACTATCTTTTTAGTTTTAATATGTTATGCTGAATTGCTGAAATCTAATTTATAAGTTATAAGTTATATAATATATTTTAACATATAACTTGTAATTAGGTACACAAATTGTACTTAATTAGGTGTATAGTAAATTATCTTAGAGTTAGCAAGAGTTATAGTATTATTGGTCCATAGACCAACTCAAAAATTATAAACAAATGCATATTACTTTTCAAACGGAAAATAAAATTCCTTTTTAACTATACTTTTAAGTACGTTAATATTATAACACTTGTAATTTGTGTTAATATATTAAGAAGTCTTTGTTTTGGTTAAATATGACATTATACTAAAATACAAAGCTTGTGTCTAAGATAAATAAATAATTAACCATGTGTTCAGTATACAGTAAATCATATAATATTTGCCAGTTATACATGATAGGTATTTGAAGTTCTAACATAATCTTATCTAAAAATTGTATGTTAAAAATAGGTTGAAAAAAATATAAATTAGGTTTGAATTTGTTTGTTTACAGTACCGGTCCCAAAAATTGTATGGGCATTAATTTTTTTTTAAATATAAATGTCAATAAAATTTTATTTGTTGTGTCAAAAAAACTTGTAAATTTAATACAAGGCTTCTCACATATCGTAATGATATAAGTTTAAAAATAATAAAAATGCTTTGGCATGATTTTTTTTATAGACTTTTAAAGTTCAAATTTAGACAACATTTATCAAATTGAAAATTTATAAACTATTTTGTAGTTGAAAATGTATTAAATGTTCAATTTTTATTGCCAAGGATTGAACTTTTAAAGTAAGGTTTCATATAATTCATTCTGTAACCAAAAAATTTAAAAAATATTCAAACACAGTTTTTTATAGTTATTTTAAGCTCAAATTTGGACGAAATTATTATATATCAAAACCAAGAAAAACGATTTTAGTTATTTTGTTGTAATTTAAAAATATTATTCGTGGGTACTTGAAACTTTTATAGAGCATAATATTATATTTTCTAAACACAATGAAATTTTACAAATGCAATTGTATTTTCGACAAAAATGGATTTAACCTACAGTAGTATTAATGACTAATAGTAAAATAAATTACTTTATAATCACTATAATATCATAAAATATACCTTACTTACTAATATTATACGCTGACTGACCGCCTTTGCACCTCGTATACAATGATTTTATCATTAAATTCAAATTTTACACATTCTCATTTATTTCGACTCTCTAGATACCTAATGTACAGCAGAGTGTACGTTTCCAATCTATTATTCCTTATTTTTTTTTAATTTAAAATGTTTATAAATATTTTAAACAATAATGTACCTAGTAAAGTAGTGAACTGAAAACGAACCATGTAAGTACCTATAATAATATGACAAATAATGACACAACATACCACTCATGATTTATAGACACTGTATACAGGTACACTAGGTACCTATAAACACATATAAACAAAATACATACCCCATAGTATAAGTAAAATATTGACAGAAATACGGCGTTTTAATTTATTTATCGAATACAATACATATTCATATCTTATATCATACCATACATACCTGTACCTAAATTAATAAATCCGATTATTATTTCGTTCAGATTTAAACTTAAGAGTAACGTATTAAAGTATATTTAATATTTAAGTATATTTTTTAATTTAATTAACATTCACAACAATAGGGAAATGTTCTACGGTAGTCCATAGACAATATTTCCCAACTAACATGTAAAATATAACATCCAATCTTTAAAGTTATAATATTAATTTCATAAATTGAAAATATAGATACATTAATTATTGGATATTTAAGTTCCTAACGGCTATACAGATAACAATATACTTACAATATGCAGTTAAAAAAGTTAAGTGGTTATTGGTTCATAAAATTGTAAGACTTCATGTATAATACTATACGTTACCGTTTATGACCTGTTATTAGGTCTTATGATGACTCTTACTGATATCGCGTCGATGAAAAATTGCGACTTTACCTAAACGGTATAAACTAGATTTGAATTAAAGTTATTTTGTTTGATTCAGGTATTCCATTCAAACAAATCTAGTATTTGTCATAAACAAAAGCCTGTGGCCTCAATACCATTATACGTTACCGTGGGACTATCAATGTGGTGAATACGGAAATTATAATCATGGGTGCATTACGGCTCACATAAGAGTATGGGCTGCATTACGATTAGTGACTAACCTGAGGACAATAGATACCGATGGAATGAGAAAAGCTATGATTGAGGCGGCCAGCACAGGACAAGAATTCAATCAATGTGCAGAAAAATATGCGTTTGATCCAAATCTTCTTAAAATAAAATGTGAATTAGATTTAGAAAGGATACCTTCTTGATTACAATTAATATATATATACATTATACATATTATTATACTTTATAATTTGTACATCTATACTCCATATTATCACAAAAAAGTAATAATTGAATTATGCGTTTTTGTTGGTTAAGAAAATTGTACTTTCTTGGGCACTAGGCTATTTACTACCATTGATTTATAATAACTCTAACTTCTAAGCGCAGATGATCCATTGTTAATAAAAGTGAAGTGAATAATAATTATAATATATAAATTATAATCGATGGCAATAAATAGGTTGGTACTAACCTATGTGATTATGAACAAAAAAACATTTTTTTTTTCTAAAGTTAGGTAGTTATTATGATAAATAATGTATTTTACTAATATTGTGTAAGCCATAGCCTGAGGGCAAAGTATTTTTTATTAACATAAATGAAAAAATATATTCAATATATACTTTGTGTTTATCTATAGTTTCATATAACATTTTATGAGTTACAAGACTGTGCATACATATTGCATAAAGATATACATAATTTTTCAGTATAGGTCCCTTATGAATACTAATATAGAATTACCAAATTAAATGTGATGATATTTAATACCAAATTATGAAAAAAAATGTTATTAAATATGTGTTTAAATATTTAAATTTTGAAATTCCAAATTTAATAAATATCAGTTTTTAAGTATTAGGTTTTTTATATTTAATTGATACTGATAACTTGTATACAAATATATAATACTTTCAGACGTTCAAATTTTAAACTATAATACAACGTTTATAAAATAATGATAAGTCGACCAATATCAAATTAGTTATCTATATAATAATATATTTATAAAATTACTTCTTAATGACAATGGTCCTTAAAAAAATATTTGAATCATGTTTTTTTTAAAATCCATTTTTAATCCTAATTATGTTTAGATACAGTACCTATAGTCGATTGGTTATAGTTGTTTTAATATTATCGTAAGAGTATGTTATTAATTTATTAATTGTACGATTGTATTCCAGAATCCAGTACAAGTTATAGAAAATAAGTTGTAGGCCAACTAAATAATAAGGTTCGTGTTTACGGTTAGTATCAATTATCAGTTGGGTGTACTTACTATAAGTTAGTATTTTAATGTAAGTAAGTAATAACAAATTTAAAATAATTTATAATGTATTATTTTATAATCCATAGTAGCCAGTAGGTATAATATTAACTCATGAGTCATGCGATTTGTGTACCTATGTATTATGTTTTTCAATTATGATAGCAGCATTTGAAAAAAAGACTTAAAACTCAACAATAATAAAACTGTATAATAAAGGTTGTCAAATTATATCAATAGGTAGGTACCTATTATATAATATTGAGTATGAGTTCTATCAAATTTAAAATGAATGATAATATATTGCTATTGCTATTGCTTATTTAATGTGTATATATTACTTCATCAAACAATTAGTGTAAGCACATATTAACAAATAACAATGGTCTACAAAATATGTTGAATGTCGCTTTCAAAGTTTAAAATTATAATTCTAGAATATTGTTACTGCCGTTACCATACTATATGTATTTACTATTAGATATTTTTTGCGGAATTCGTTTCAAAGCTTATTGGTATTATAGTTATTACAAATTACAATAATACGATTATAATAAATGATAATACCACATAATATTTTATACGTCGAGTAATTGGCTATTAAATTGGCATTATATTTATCTTAATTTGTTATTGTAAATATTTAATTATTACTCAACCTAAATACACGAATACCAGAATATTTGCATCTCAAACGAAACAAATAATAAATCCTATTACACTATGTATTTTTTAAAAATGTATATATTTTTGGTAACTTGATAAAATTAATATCTTAGGATTGTGGAAACACTCATAGAACTGTACTGTACAGAAATCCCGAAAAATATTATTATGTAGGTTAGGTTTGTTTATCGTTCAAAGTTTCAGAAGAAAACTATCAATTGATGAGCAACATGACCTCCTAATTAAGGAGTTCAAGTCATATTCATAATTATTAAACATCTAACATAACGAAACTACTCATTAATTTCATTAATTAGAATTAACCCTTGACCTTTAACTAGACTTCGTATCTATGTTTATCGATGAATATTTTTGATTGTAATTTTCATGATCAACTAATTAAGTTGTAAATACTTCCATTGAACGTTTTTTTGATTATTCCACTTATTATAATGACTATTATAGTCGTATTTTCACAATTAGTTTGTGTTTATTGAAAACTTGACCGTAGAATTACGAGTTGAATATGACGTTATATAGTATTGCATACCTCCTATTATATTTTTTTCATGTCAAAAAAAATACGTTAGTAGTTCGTAAAACTGTTCTAATATAAGTAATCATACTTAATTAAAACATATTGTTGTTAAGTCATTATTAATACGTATTGACATATTGTTACGTTTAACCATTAAAAGATATTTACTAAAAAGTATAATAACATAATCTCTACTTATTATATAGTTTTCGTAAGACGAAATTTACATCTTAGAGCATAGAACGATAGAACGTTTCCATTTTTGTTTATTAAGACATTTTGTTGCAATCGCAAATTTAATAACTACTTGAATTTCGGTTTAATATATAAATTGAATTTTTTTTTTTAGTTTGATAAGTCATCATTAAAAATAGTATTGCAAACGTACAAATAATTTTAGATTCCGATGGAAGAGATAAGAGAATTTTTGTTGTTGTTTTGTGTCAGTGTACGATAAGCGTAGAAATAATGTTTTGATTTTCAACTTAAGTAACTTTTCTGGTTGAATGAGTTGTAAAGAGTATTAAGTTGGTGTATTCAAGCCTCAAGGGGCCATCATTGAAAATGCCCAACAGTTTTCAAAAATGTGATTAAAACCATAACAATTAAGGAATAATTCCAACTCTTACAAAAATTCAATTTTTGACCAAATCGATTTTGTTTTTTGGAATAACTCAAAAACAATTGACAGTAAATACTTGAAATTTTGACTGGATGTTTGAAAAGCCATAGCATTGATAAAAATATTTATTAAAGTGATTCAGTTATCCGGTACACAATTCTAATATCTCTAATAAGTAATAACTCATACTGAGTCTAATAAAAGGCAAATAATTTAATATTCTTAATGTATGATTTGGTTTGGGTTTATCTTTTTTGATTCCAATAATCAGTTGATTCTATAAACCAGTGATCTCATTAAGCGTAAGTGGAACACAATGTATTAACATTTTTTATACCCAATTACATTGCAAAAAATATTTTGACTCTTTTTGAGCTATTAATATGCATAAAAATTTTTCTAGTTTTTATTTAATTAATGTCAATAACAATTTTTTTCTAGGTCAAAAACCTTGAATGGTTAATATAAGTTGTTACAAGTGTAATTAAAAAAAAAGTTAGACGTAAATTTACAATAATTTCTCATGAGCTTCTAACTTGACAAAATTTGTCAAAATCACGATAATTTGCAAGTTATTCTTGAGTTAGAAATTCATAAAAAAATATTTTATTTAGGATTTGAATATTTTATACAAGATTACTTGTATTTTTTCTATCTATAATAAAAAAAAGTTTACTGGAAAGTCCAATCAATTTATTACTCGTATGATCGTTTCAAGTTCAATTGTTTACGACATTGGTTTCATAAGGCATTCACCCATAAGTTAATAATTTTTCATCGAATGATTTACTTATTTTATTATAATTAAACGGAGAATAAAGATTTTAGTAATTTATTAGGCTGACCAACCATCTTTGCTAAGAATCGTTTTTCGTATAGGTATCGATTTTATGTCATTAGATTTAAATTCAACACATCCATTACAGTGACCCTAGTAACCTAACAGACACGACACCAAATGTCTAGCAGAGAAGCGGCCAGTCCGGGACATCAAATTTTGGGTACCTGTACTACATTTTTTTGAGGGCCCTATAATATATTATTTAATATATAATAACTAATAAGTATCCCTATTAAAATTTCAAAATTTGAAAAATAACAAGTTCATTTCTATGAGCCCCTAAAATATCTGAGCCCCTGTAGCCTGTACTCCCACTAGTCCCAGTACATTTCAAAATAATTAGGAAAAACCAAAAAAAGGTGCACAACAATGGCATTTTTAAAATTTTTAAACTAATTTTAATTTATATCACGAATCACGATCCTATTATTACAGTTATGTACGGTTCTTGGGTATCTAATTATGAGTTGACAATAGTAATTGAATAATGAATAATATTACAATAATTATAACCTATATTATAAATTCGATATTTCTGACAAAAATTGGTTTAAATTACTGCATTTGATATAGGTACACATATGGACAAATATACTACGACAGTAATGTAAATATAAGTTTTAAAATATCTGCACAAAAACTGTCTCTCCTACTCGTCTTGCCCACTATAGTTAACTTAAAAGTTTTTGTTCGATAGGGTGATTGTAAGCTCTCTTGGTTTCTGTACACTGTTCAAAGCACCCGCAATTGATACTTCTACATTTTAGATTCTGAGCGATGAATGTATTGATTTTACAATGACATTGTGTGTTTTTTTATTTTATTTATTCTATTTATTTTTGTGTCCGTCATCACGTTTAGGGGCAGTAAAGTTCACATTTTGACAAATAAATTACTTTAATAGTTTAACAACAATAATATCATTAAATATACTAAATAACTAAGTAATATTATAGTCTAACCGCCTTCGCTCAGAATAGTTTTTCGTATACATTGGTTTTATATCATTGAATTCAAATTTAACACCATCCATTACAGTGACCCACTTAATTGTAACCTACAGTACAGCAGAGTGACATCAACTTACCCGTTTTTTAATTTCAAACTGCACAACAAATTATTTTAAAAACGAGTCAATCGTCCGAATGATGAGGTTAGCCAATCATAATCCATAATTTTTTCTTTAATATTTAAAATTGTATTCATTAATCATTATTATACTTTATTGAATGTATTTGTTCAGTTACATAATACCATTAGGCACTATAATTGTAACTTGTGCTTACGCCTATTTGTATTTAATAAATAATGTTTAATATTTTAAGCTTTAAACAAGCCATATTATTATAATATAGTCGTAACTATGTATAGTCGTTACTCGTTTGGTAAATATTATTTGCAGTTATCACTTATCGCTATGGATACAAACGTATAGTAGTTATTATCGACTAAAACATCGTATTCACTCTAGATTCTAGAACTTGACTAAATGTAAAAACTACTCTAATAAGATAGATTTGTAAAATAATACAAGTAATAATCATAAGTAATTATCGGCAAAATGGGGAAAATTGATGAATTGAACGGTGGTTTTCATAAACGTCACGAGCCTGGGTACGTTACAAAATCGTTAATATTACATTGCATTATATTGTACGGCATTATTGTTTATAATTTATATATTATGTAAGTACATTAAGAATAACTTGCTGAACCAACGAAATTAGAAATGCACATTGTGGTTCTTATAATATAGGTACACGTATACTACTACCCAATTGTTATTTATAATATCCTTCCCTTGGTTTTTTTTGCATGTACAGCTGGGTGTGTGATGTGGTGTTGTGCAATTTTTCTATTTCATGAATATAATCATTGATAAAAGCACCTCAACCTACCCATCTAACAAGTTTCTTAGTTAGTTCAATAAAACTGTAGTTGTAATAATAATATTAACTATGAAATGTAAATAGTATATTGATAATAAACTAATAAATGATAAAATACCTTTGGCTTTACACCGCATAATGTAACACTTACAGCATCAGTTTAAAGTTATAACGGAAAGAAAACGAATAGCTTATTAAATAATTCTGTATTTGTACAGATATGTTCTATAGTTATTAATGCGATACATAAATTCGAATAATTTCCAATAACTATAAAGTTTATGTAATAATTTATAACACTTAATATATTGAAACAATTAAATATCTCTTTACGTAATTGAAGTTCAATTTGATAAATAGCTCGCTGACTCACTCTCTATCTATATACAGCCTACAAATTGTGCAAAATCATTACTGATGAGATAGCATGTTTTATAAATTAATAATTTTAGGTATTAGTAATATAGTAGGTTCTTATACATAGTGTTAATTTGTGTGTTTTAGACTGTAGGTTTATACTTATATATTTATACTATACACTTATTTTATAATTTTGGACTGAAAACACGTAATTACACAAACTATAAAATAACTCAATTTAATCCATATAATGGATTTTAAATATTATGACATATATTATATTATGTCTTAAAAAAATATACTAAATACATAATATATGCCAATACAAGTGATAAAGAGCACCACAAATCACAATACAATTTGAATTAGAGTAGGTTGTTTTAAATTTAAATGCTAGCATATAATAATACAATCACTATGCTACATTATATATATTATACAATATACATGTATTTTGTACTAAATAGAACCATCATTTCATTTTTATTTGAAGTCATACAAATATGAATAAATAAAATTGGATACAAATATAATTTTCAGAATGACGAAAGAAACTCTAAAAGAAATATGCAAAGAAAATAAATTGTACTTTATCCCTAGTCACAATGATGTACTGTATCTTCATTTTAGAGGTATGTGAAAAATATGCTTACTGTGTAGTTATACATATAAAATACAATTGTACCATTATAATTATTTGGACTAAGAGTTCGGTCCAACTCTTTAAATAAGTCTACACATACCTATGTGGCAATGTGTAGTTAATATACCTAATGTCATAATGTTATTTCAAGGATTTTCAAAGATTGAAAACTTGGAAGAATATACTGGGCTAAAATGTCTGTGGTTAGAAAACAATTGCTTAACGAACATTTCTGGACTCGACAATCAAACAAAGCTCGTCGGTTTATACATGCACAACAACGCGATCTCCAAAATCGAAAATCTCGATTTCTTGATCAAACTGAACACGATAAATTTGAGCCATAATTTCGTTAAAATTATTGAAAACTTAGGCAAGTAATGTAACAGGAGAATTCAATTGAAAAATAATGGCTAATTTTTTTTTTTTATGAATTTTAGATCACTTGCAAGACCTGAATTCTTTGATTATATCTCACAACAAGCTTTCTACAGCAAGCGACATTGCTCATTTGGCCAACTGTAAAACCTTGTCTATACTCGATCTTTCATTCAATTACTTAGATGATCCAGAAATCATTGATGTAAGTCGATATCTCTAGCAAAATACTTAGTACTAATTAGGTATAACCGATAAATGACGGTGCATAAAATATTCAATTTTTTTCTATTTACCAACTTTAAAGGTATTTACCAACATGGAATCTTTGCGCGTTTTGTCTTTAACTGGAAATAGTGTAATTTCGAAGATAAAAAACTATCGGAAAACATTAACTATAAAATGTGTAAGTAGTAAAGTTATATTTAAAATGAAATAGTATAACATCGTTCTAATTTTTTTTAGTACCTACTATAGATAGCCTCACATATAGAGCTCACACTTATATTATTTATGTGTTTGTCTTTTACAAAATCAACTGAAGAATATAAAACACAAGTAGAAAAATAATATACGTTTACATATGTTATTTTGTAATTTAATAAACACACAATTTTTTATTCTATTTAATTTAAGAAAGTCGAATGTTGTGTTTATTTTTACAGAAAGAACTTCGTAATCTGGACGAGAGGCCAATATTCAAAAAGGACCGCTTGTGTGCAGAAGCTTGGTGAGAATTAATTATAAATTTCATTTGAAAACAATACTTATACCACAGGTATCCACTTAGGTGCAATAGTTAAATACGTTTTTTATATATCCAGGAGTACGGGTGGTATCGAAGCGGAACAAGCCATGAGAACTAAATTAAACGAAATCGAACAAAAAACCATTTCGGATTCCGTAAACGCACTAATAAGTTTGCGCCGAAATAGGAACGTACAAATTACTCCATCGGCCTCCGGAGACAGTGGCCAAGGGGAAGGTGTCGATGTTTCCCATCATGATTCTACGGCCAGTTTGATCGTGTCCAAAGACTATTACGATGAATGCGATTCTTCAGACGACGATTCCACCGACGACGGATCGTCCATCAAAGACGCAAGTACATTGGTAAACGAAATCGCCGATAATAACGACGCCGAAGACAACTCTGCAGCTGACGGTTCAGTTGATCGTTCGGCACACGACAACGTTGTTGTTAATAACGACGAAGGTTTAAGTGAATTCGAGAGTGACGTCATAAATCATTTGCGTCGATTACCTGCAGGGGAACGGAGTGGCGGAAGCCAAGAAGACAGCGGTGGTCGCCACCCGATCATCGGTGTCTCAGACGATGGTGTCGAATCTGTAGAAAGATTGAACGAAAAATGTGAACATTTCGTTGAAAACAAAGCCGACGAGTTTGCGAATGACGCCGAGGTAAACAATACTGAACCATCTCTTGAACAGTATACTGATGGCCGTTTATGTTCAAACGACTCGAACAAGCTGATGATTGAACGTACCGAAAATAAATTAGTTTATGCAGAGATAAATTACGTGAATGACGAACTAAATACAGATGAAAGTGGAAAACAAACGAAGACGAATTTTGATTTCAACGAGAATAGTAGTCAAACGTATGATAATAATGTAATAAATAATGATCATCGAAATTTCGGCGGTTCAATCGAAATTAATAACACATTATTAAAGGACAACGATTCTGAAACGTACAAAAATCTCGATTTAAATGAAAGACAAAGCTTCGAAAGTTTACCTTTATTATGTCCGGAGCAAACTAATAACACTTCACAAATCCTATGCCCAAAAAGGTTGAATACTCATGACACAATCGATCATGATAATGCTGACGAGGAATCAAGTTTAACTATTTTAACTGCAACTTGCGAATCTGATCGAAATGAAATCAAAGAAATTCCTATTAAACTCCCGTGGCTATTGCCACCTCAAACAAAAGAAGAGTTTTATATCAAAAAAAGTTCTGAATAAAATCATCATTAACTGAAAAAAATATACACATTTTTGTAAAGTATACTAGAATTATATTTCATCTAGAGATTCCATTAATTCTATAGTCATTATATTTAATGTAAAATGTTTTTTGAAAAGTTTTAAACCGCTATTGAACATGAGACATTTGTCTTATATAGACCAATATAGTATACATTCGTTTATTTTCATTCTATAATTATTGTTTCCTTATTTTTACAAATCAATATAATTTATTACTAATTGAATCAGTAATAATATTACTATAATAATTTTTTAAGTTGTATTTATTTATATACAAAACATTTAAAATTAAAAGTATAATAAATAATAATAAAATAATAATACTTTTAATTAAAAAAAAATTTTATTTAATTTTTTAAATAAAATCATTTTTAAATTCTTTATTATTGTATCTGGGTAGTAGGTACCATAGTTATTTGTAATTATTTATTGTTGAAGTTTTAAATTTGTATGAACAATAATATAACAATAATTATGTAAGTAGGAACCTAGTCCAAATGTTAAACTCAATGATTGCTTTTTTATATTTCTGTTGAAATGTCCATTAGTGCTGTTTTTTTTATCCATTATTTATAAATAATATATATTATATGTAGTATGGTCTACAAGCATCAATTCTTTAAGGATGCCGCAGCAGTCTGTTGCAATATAGTGACACTTCATCACCATCGCCTAATACCACGTATAATGCAATGTTTGGAAGGAACATTTTCAAAATAACTCGTTCCAATGATTTCGTTCAATTTTTACTTTTCGGGAACTTAACGAGAACATAGTTCCTTTTTCTTGTGAAGGACATCATTTTTTCTTTCATTTTTTAGAGGAACAAACGATTTAATTTGTTTTCATTCATTTATATTCTTATAAATATAGAGAATTTTAATAATTTTCATCAGAGAAGTTTTATAATTATTTTTTTTAGACATCTCATTTAGTCATTATAAAAAAAAACTGCCTAAACTTACCTAAACTAGGTATATAAATAAACCAAATTACGACATTACGACAATGTACGATGATATTGATAATGTTTAGAACATTTCAAGTTAGTCACGGTAGACTTATTGGTCTTAACATGTATAAAATAAACAAATTAAACGTATTAAAACAAACAACTATTACCTAATTAAACACTGTATTACTACAAACTATATAAATACACTTTTAAAATTATTGAGGAAAGAAAAATGTTTTTTATTTAAGAAAGGGGAAAAAAATTTGTTCCTCTCTTTAAGCCGGGAACGAGAAAAGATTTAGGTCCTTTTTAAAAATATGAACATGAAGTAAATTAATTATTTTTTTAAAGGAACTTTCCAAGCGCTGGTGTAATGAAGATAACTTATTGCTATAGTGCTTAAAAGTGCTAAGTTATTGTTATGGTTTCGTGATTTCACCATTATGAGTTGCTTAACTTTATTAAAATATTAAATCAACAGAAAAATCGTTTTCCTCGTCATTTTCTATACGTGGTTGTCCTTAAATTGTATAATATGCAGGTTATTCTATTCGCATGTCTTGATTTTTTTCTTGTTTCCGATGATCCCGTAAATTTCTTCCAATTGTTTCTATAAATTGGGTTTATTAGTTTTATTATTTTAATCAAAAAAATGGTGAATATTTATATTGTGGTGAAAATATGTATCATATTATATGACAATATTTTAAAAAGTACTCCAGCGTCATGGATCTCAAGAATTACTTTGATATTATTGTATAGTAGTTACCTACTATAGTTTTAAATTAGTTATTAGTCATAAGTTTCCTGTAATAAACTTACATGGATAATAATGGATAATACATTCGCACTATGAGCACATTAGTGTAATAAAAATTGATGATTTTGAGAAAATTGAGTGTTGAAGTTTTTTATGTCCTAAATCACTGATAAATAAAAATATTTAACACGATATGAATGTTTGAAATTTTGGTATAATATCATAAACAAGTGTTGAAAACAAATGAATCATATTAAAATATACTGTTGAAAAAGTTTTCATTAATTAAATACAATTATTTTTTATACTACCACTACTATATTTTAATATTTACTTAAAAGTTTTTTTGTTTTTCGGTGGCAGTTTATCATTTTGTGATTTTTTACTCAATGTTTGTTTTGCCTAATTGTGCTAAATAAAGCATTTGTTTTACATGAGATTGAAATGCCATAATTATTATTATTATTTAAAACAAACTCAGTGTAATATTTAAATTATTGAATAAGAAACAAAGTTAAGCCTTCACATCATAAAAGTGTGTGTGGTGTGTTGTTCAGATAATACATTATTGTTATCATAATCTATTTATAATCCTTTAATGGAATTACCTATCACCTATGTTATAATATTATGTAATTTTGAGGTGAAACTCGTATACAGCGGTATTTCTTAAACATACGTATGGGTACTGCAGTAAAATAACTCAAAATAATACACTCATTGCATGAATTGAAATATTTAATCTCCTTTAATGTTATAGGTATTATAGTATAGAGATTGACGCATTCAATTTTGACAGTAGGTACGACTCAATACAATACAGTGCAATGTCAAGTGTGCTATTTTTACCATAAGAAAACACGTATAACTCAAAATCGTCAATTTTTGAGCTACCTACTATACACTATAAATGTACACACAGTGCTCATTGATACTTCTTAGTTCTTTGGGCAAACGCACTGTGTAATAAGACAAATAATGATACATAATATGCGTAGATATTACTCACAACTAATAGCAAAACGACATCTTTGTGATTCTCGTTGGGCACCGCTAACTGATTATTTTCGTTCTCCAATTGTTTCAAGTACGAATAGATAATTGATAACTGCAATATTATAGTAATTTTGATACTTTTAATACTACCCATTGATTTTTGACATAATTTATTGGTAGGAATGCGTAGGGACATACAATTCGATACTTATGCATAATAGGTACCTATTAGTAATATGCATACACTGTATATTGAAGTGTAGTTTGTAGGATGCACTCAATTGCGCGTGTTATAAAATTTATACTTGGCACAATTATTAACATTTTTTATATTAGTTCTGTTAATAAATAAAAACTGATTAGTTTTCAATTCAATGGTAGATTAAGGCAATTAATTACATATACATTTTGCCTATTGTATAATATATTTGTTATCTATCTGCGAACAAATATTATGAACTATACACCATACACGGACTCGATACAGACGCGTAAAGCGTGTCAATCATCATCGTTATAATATTATCAATTATCGATGTCAGTAAATATTAAAATATGGATAGGTTATAATTTTTTATACAGCAGGTACATACCATGTCGGCAATGTACTTTTCAACGCGTTTCATCAATTCCTGGTGCCAATCAACGTGAATTTGTTGAATAGCGTAGCGTTTTTCCAGATCATTGACTTCAATAGCTTTATTGCCCTCGTCCACCTTTAACTGGTCGATTTCGCTGGCGTTTTTATTGATCTGCTCGGTAAAACGCCTCCGATCTTCGGTCATCTGCAAACGATATTGGTCCTTCATATACTCGGCAACCTCCATTATTTCTGTCATGATTTTTTTATTTTCACACGCCTCTTCTACAGCTTACTCCAAACCGTCAACCGTCTCTTTGAACTGGTCGATATGGCTATGAATTCCCACCATTTTGTCTACAATGGTTTTAAAGCATATTGCATTTTCCATTTCGTTTTTTATTTTCCTGTTGTGTATTCTTTGCATTTCGTTTTGAACTCTATATATAGGTAAAGTTAACGAGAACATAACAATATATTACATAATATTATATACTACCGCGATAAAAACGATGATTCGATATAATATTATATAAATCGGGTAAATGCGTATTGTGTGTACTTGTTAATTTGGTCTTTGACCATTGATATCAGATCATTTCTGGACTTGTATATGTTGGTAATTAACTGAACTTCATCCGCAATTAAATCGTTTTGTATCTAAATATTATAAATTATGAAGCATTATTATGTAAAAACTTAAAGAGATCCACGGATTGTCAAACACGTGCACGGTAAACAACCTTTAGTCCCTCGAACTCCTTTTCGATCGTTTCTAATTTTATTTTATTCTCATATTTTAATTTAAGTTCGTCTCCACCATAATGATCGACTACTTTCCACTGTATAACGACGGAAAAATATAATATAAATGTCTGAACTAAATAAATTCAAACTTTCAATAAGTAGGTTAAGATTTATATGTTCTTACTCCCTTGACTTATACCCAGCCAGTGGAACTTATAAATAAACTTATTATAAACTATTATTTATAATAACATTAAAAAATAGATTAGGCTCAGATTGTGATTACCAATTGTTGACAAAGAGAGAAGGTATAGGTCAATTTAACATCGATATCTTCGTGTACGATATTCGACTTTTCGAAATTGAAATTTATATTAATTTACAGAACAGTTTTCGTACCTGTACTTCTTTTAAAGTGTCAGAAACATCACTAACATCCGATGGTGTACCAATATTGAAATCCTCTTTCACTAAAACAAGTAATAAAATATAGATGTATTTATATCATCATAATACTAAAATAATTACTTATATCTAAGCAATATTACTTAATAATTTGTAATATTAAATAGTAACACTCGCGCGCCAAAATAACTTTTACCTATAATACCAATTTGTTTAATAATTTATAATAGATAATACTTCAATGGACAATTTACTTTTGAGTTTTTTGAGACACTCGTTTGATTCTTCGCGATTTTCTATGTATTTTTTAGTCATATGATCATTAAACACTTCTTTCTTAAAAATATGCGATTCTTGTAGGTTATTCATTTCTTTATCACAAACGTTAGAATTCTAATGGAGGAAACATTCAATCATGAAATCAGGCACAGGTAAAATAATTTCAAATTATATACTAAGCAGATGAATGTTATTTAAATTGAAAACATGTATGATAAAGTTTAATCAGCTTAAGTCACATAAGTTGGTCTTTTCTTAAAGTTTTTAAAATGTAACATTGTCAAACATAAAATCTTACCATTGCCAGATATATATAGTTAAACGAAACAGCGGTTTGTCAAACAGTAAAAAATAAGTAATAGGTATTTATTCGAAATTAAGTATTTATAAAGTACAATTATTTTATTGATTCGAATTGTCGTCGTTATAGAACCACAACCATGTATATTTTAAACAATTATACCTAATTATTACCTATATTTACATTATACCTAAACGTATTATTACATGGAAAATTCTAAAAAGAAAACTCAAGCCCTTTGACTTCATATTGTTTGGAAATATTAGTTGTTGATTCAAGCATTTAAGTCTTTGTAGTCAGCAAATAGGTATTTACGAAATATTAACAATAATATAACAGTAATTATATTGCATTAACATTAACAATATTGCAGTACGTTCATCAATCAGCCGGCATCAGTTAAGGAATTAGCGCATATTTATTTTTCTATTGATATATAACTACACGTAGGGATAATATCATATGTTCGAGGTACATTTATATCATAATATTATTTAATTTAATTTGTCGTATATTAAAACACATATATTCCGTCTTGTTTGAACTTAACTCTAAAAAAATTGTTGTCAGACTAGGATTAACACCATTAACAACTAACGGTTTCATAAGCAAAACATACACAACAAACAATTATGACTAATTTAAGCAAACCATGTATGAAAATAATAACAATAATGGTCCTAAGTTTGTACCTTATGATGGTATACCATGTGTTATTTTCAAAGGATTGCTATTATAACTATTATAACTTGAATTCATTGAATAAATATAAGTGTGAATTAATTTTCCAGCAATATCAGGAATTGTTGCATATTCTATTTTTTTTTTTTTTTAGTGAACTGTGATTTGTTGTGTATAATTCTTTTTTTAGTTTTTACAAGCAATGCTATTATTATTGTTTTTTTCAATAGATTATCATGTATATATTACATACTTATACTAGTTGTCCCGCTGTTATTGCCTGGGCGTCAAAAATTTGTTTTTTATTAAAAATATATGTATTTATAAAAAATTGTATATACCATATTCCTACTAATTTTAATAGTTATGTTTTACTAAATTGCAGTGTATTATCATGGGTGTCAACTTAACTAACTTATCACAAGTAAATTGTAGAAATTTACAATGTTAAGTCCAATCCTCTATCAGTGTCATCTGGCTTGATTCAGTGGGGCCACTTATCTCCTTTCTTATTTTGAGTTTTTATTGACGATATAAATTCAGTATTTCAACATATAGTAAGTTCTGATATTCACTGATGATTTAAAAATATATTCTACAATTTATCATATTAGTGGTTGTGTAAAACTACAAATGGACTTAGATCTCTTCTCAACATTGTGTTCAGACATCAGACAACGGATTGCATTTAAATACAATTAAAATATATATGAAAATATCCTTCCATCACAAACTCTCACCTACACTATTTGATTATAATCTAGTTAGGACTAGAATCAATGTGGTTGATCGAGATATCTTGTATATAATCTCGAAAATCTCGGTATAATCTATCGTCGGACTTCAAACGCCATATAGAAATCATTTGCCCAAAGGCTTTTAGAAATTCGGGTTTTATTAAACGTAACTTTGCGGATATGAATTAAGTCTGTCTAAAAGTCTTGTACTCTGCTCTAGTTCGGTCCGTCTTGGAGTTTAGTCTACTGATTTGGAGCCCCCGACGAATAGGCTTAGTCGATAAAATTGATACCATTAAACCAAATTTGTGTGGTTTACCTATTTCCGATGTCTAGAACCAATGTAAAATATCCGCTCTAGGAAGAAGGCGTAATTACATTGACTGTTTATTTTTATGTAAGCTATTAAATGGTACTGTAAACTGTTCTGAGCTCTTGAGTCTTATTGGTCTTAGAGCACCCTCGGTGAACACTATAAATAATTCCCTATTTTATATTTTGTAACGAGTAATCGCAACCCTGTTCTCCGTAGTTCCACCAGTAGAATTCTAAAATATTTTAATGATAATCCATCTGACTTCGATTTGTTTTTCTATGATAATAGTAAGTTGAAAAACTGTTACTTTGTTTTTAGTTTATTCTTCTGTGTTATGCTTGAAAATGTACCTATTCATATTATGTTGTTAAAACTTATATATTATACTGCACCCTCTGCCCTCGCAGGAGTTACTTTCGAAAAATAAATACAAAAAAATATGGTCGTTGACGGGATGCGATTTGCATTGTCGAATTAATGAAAAATAATAAACAATTTCTCCTATATGTTACCTAGTGTTAACTACAATACATAATTTATGAAATACCTTCTATATGTGCTATCTCTATCGTAGAAATATTCTTCAATGTGTTACCAACTATAAATCGTTTATGAAATAACTCCTATGTGATTTTTTTACTAAAAAAGTTTTTTGTGTTTCCTGAAAACTACACTTTTTTACATAGTAGGTTTGTTCCCGTCAACAACGATATTTAACCAATGTCAACCCCATAAATAAACAAAAATATATTCATATGTAAGGTACCTTTTAGCTACATAGGTATAGAAATTGAAAAAATAAACTATAAATACCACCAAAGTCCTAGTTCAAAGGAATCGATTGAAAAGAGTACATTAGTTGTTGAGTATTTTAACTTCGGTTAAACCAGCGCGGGTTAAAAACTTAAAAATATAGAGACCAAGTATCAAAATTATAGATTAAAACTATTATATCCGATCAATTATAGTCTTATTCATTTATACTTAACCTTTAGGAACCATTTATTTATGTGGACAAATCATAATAATTTATAATAATTTGATACTATCACTAAATTATAGGACTTATAATATAGTAGTATAATATAAGCGAATACTATAGATTAGAATACGGCACAGCTCGATTAAAAAGCGCAAGACATTTTGACCGAACAAAAACGTAGGGCTGCCTACCTAAAATATTTTACGGCGCTAAATATAATATTACGCCAAGTACCTATTGGGATTCAAACATGTATAAGAAATAAGTTACTAACAAATACTATAAATAGATGTCTGTATTATTTCGTAATGTAATTTTTGAGGTCGACTACGCCCAATGATTTCTTAAATAGGCAACTACCATGATTATTGGGGACACCTTTGTCGCAAGCATTCTTAACATCTATAGTAACTAATAGGTAGTAACTAATATGTAACCAGTGGCAATCATTTATATGGAAAAAGGCCTATCAGTTTTTCCCAATTTTTTTTTTGCAGTAAAAATCGCGTTCGGACTACAAATATTTTAGAAAAAAAATTAGCTACGCGTGTCGGACCAGCCGTTCTCTGTGATTTGATATTAACCAAAATAGTTTATAATTTTAAATTATATAATCATATCAAATATTATTTAAATTATTGAGATTTTTTACTGTTTATTAATATGCACAGTTTTTCTATGTTTATTTCAGAACAATAATATTCTTATTATGAACCAATAAATAAAAATGTTGTTATAAATAAATGGGATTACAGCTATTTAGAATTACAATAATTAATACATGTACCTATAGGTGTTCAATTAATAGATACTTCAAATTTACTGTACCAGCTAAACCTCTAGTTTGTAAAATTACAAGTCAAATATTTTCTCCAAATATAGGTATTAATGAGAGGGAAGTCAATAATTAAAATTTTGGTCAATTATTGGTTAAAAAAATTTTCAAAATTCTTAAGATTTCGATTTGGTGCTGGGCTGGTGAAACGGCAAAACTATGAAACTGGATGTAGCTAGTTGAGTATTGAATAATTTCGTGCGAATTCTAATTTTGGTCTTGCAAAGTCATACTAATTACGTTGCTAAATATTTGTGCAAAAAAATTTTGATTTTCAGAATAGCTCGGGCTCGTGATTCATAATACACTTAATAATATAGGGAACGTGGCTCTGGAGGATTTGACAACAATCGATTTATTATGATTGTTATATAAATTATAATTAAATACTTAAATCCTCCAAATACACCCTGTGTGTATATTATATATATGATATACCTATATATTTATTTAGTAAAATAATGAATATTAAAATGGAAATGAAATTAGCAGCAGGTCACTCGGTTAGCAACATGTTTCGTAGTTACATACCCCCACCGTTCAGCTACGGGAGTTTTTTTTTCACATGTAGACAAGAAAATCATGGCGATTCAGCCAGTTTGTGAACTCAATTGAGCTGGTGTATATAGTTCTCGGAAAATTTGTGCTTCCCGTAAGTATAATATACAATATTAATAAATATTATACAATTTAAATTTTATAAGGATCAGATGTTATTTTTACTATATTTTAAGATGATATTTATTTGGATTTATATATATATTATAAATTATAGTATAGTCTTGTTCAACATATTTATTTAATTTGCGATATTTTAATTACCTAATTGCTTGGGTAAACTAATAATTTATTAAGCTCCGAATTCACTCTCAATCAATATCAATTTTTTTAATTTATTCTTAATTCATAAAAAATATGTAAAAAAACTGATTTTGTGTATCTATAAAATAGAAAAAAAATAGTACATATGTTGTTACTCACAAAAACAAATTATATTTTGAATGGTTTATTATTTTAATTCATCAATATCCTATAATTTGTATGATCTATAATATTTTGATAGGCAAAAATTTTAATACTTAAAAAGATTATTTATTTAATTAAATATACTAAGATAATATTTTCTGAATTTGTATTTAGTCAATTTGAAGTAGGTACAACATTCCAATAAAATCATTTATTTATTTAATATTATAAGTTATAACTTGACTTGAAGTTGTGAAATATTTCAACAACAGATTCATATATTCCTTACATAACGATAACAATGTGGTAATATCCAATGGGCAGTATTAAATGTTTAGTAAAAACCATTTCGATTTCATTTTTGATATTTGCTAGTTATTTAATTATTAGATAAATAGTAGATGAAATCGGAAATATGGATATCTTAATAGTTATTTAATTTTTGTTTTTAGTTTTTTTAAACTAGGTTCTTTTTTTCTTAACTCTTATTTGATATCGATTTATGTAGGTGTCAATGCAGGTCCAAGGGGCAAGGGGCATAAGACACTCAAAAGCTCAAGGACTAACTACACATGTCATATTCATTTTATAATTCAATTATTTATATACATAAATCATTATTTAACAACAAATGCAATAGTTATGGATATAATAGTTATTTGTTTAAAAATATTCAAGCTTCATAATATTATTTGTATGTGTTGTTTATCCCTCCCACCATTCCAGTACTTTATTCGAGACCCGTCGTTGGTAGATCTGCGCTCTTGAAGTAGGTTAACTAACCAAAAAACTTTTTTTACTATTTAACTGTAAAGATATTTTTATTATTGAACTAAGCCTGTTTAACTAGCTTAATTCTATTGGACTTTCGGGAGAATAGAAATAGCTGTATAACATAAGAAAAAATATTATTGTCCAATGTTTTCATCTAGACTATTCGCCAAAAAGATGATTTTTTAGTTGCGATTTTGGATTATTATCATCCCAAGTTAGGAATGGGTATATAATACGTAAATGACGTTGTCTTGGAAATAACACAGTTTAAATAAATATGCCCAGAAGTAACGATTAATCATTGGTAAGATTAAAATCGTGTATGCTAATCAGTAAGCAAACCGGTTGGTCTGTGCTTATGACGGTAAACAGTGCCGGGGGAGCTTATACCGTGTCCGTCACCTTTCCTCCAGTCGTAATTAGTTGCAATCGTCATGAATGGAACAATTTCTCGAGAGAAGACTTTGGACGGTTGCCAAAAGTAGATTTACTCCAGGTCGATGATCCCCGGTATAACCGGCTCGTATATATTTTTATTAATTCATTCCGAGTGTGAAATAATTATGTAAAATAAAAGCAAATTTCCGTTTGTACAGACATCATAATTATAATGTACCTCATAATATACTTATGCCCATACATACACCCGTTTTTGAAAAATTTAAATAATGCAGTGATATTCGACGCCGGGCTCTAAAAACATCACAAATCGTTTAGATTAATTCCGCAAGGCACAGCTGTATTATGTTTATTGTAAATGTGTATATAAAATACGGTACCTATAATATATATGTAATATGTATATCTAGTAACGAGATTCGATTCATTCACTGAGCCTCCCGTTCATCTCGTGATTAATATTATCCTACCTCAACCCGTAGCCGTCGCCCGTCGTTTTTCACGTGGCTACCTGCCAAAATATTACGTGAATGATACGGCTCTGCAGCAAAAGAACTAATACTATGGATGAATGACGCTATACTCGAGACGTATGGTATCGTCTTGTGTGTCGTTACTGGATGGCGGGTTGTACCTATATGGCCTAATGATATAATGATTTAAACGCAAGCTAACGGCCTAAAAGTCAAAACTTGTATATTTCAAAAAAAAAAAAATGAATTGTTTAATGGATGCATCGGAGGTGTTCGCTATTTAGAGGTTTCCGTGGGGGGAAGTTTAACTATGCATATATTCTTTCGAATCGCATTCGATTTAGTAGATATAGATGATATTATTATACAAACATTCCTACTGTGATCTGCATTCTGCAGCAGTACATGGACACACGGTAATACGGTGCACAAACCTTATTATAATTATTATGCATACGACTAACACGTGACGGAGTAACCTGTTGTATTTAGTTAATTTTGTATTTTTTTTTTAACAGGTACATTTAAGGATAAATAGGTTTTCAAATGGTCCCGAACTCTTTAAATGTCGAAAAGACCGTCATGAATTATTTGCTATACACATCTGTGCTGGTGTTCGGCGTACGAGCGTCTGAAGTCGGGTCGAACAGTTATAATAATTATACTCTCAGACGACACAAGGTACGTGTGGTACTGCCGTGTAACAATACACCTCGCGATACATGAATTGACGTTAAATATTTGTATAATAAATAAATAAATAAATAAATAAATAAATAAATAAATAATAATACTTTAAACTTGCCCCGTGAATGATGCAATTATTGAACTACTATCCGCAATATAGGTCCACAATATAGTTTTGTACCCGGACAAGCATTCGTGGTGCACGAGCACGCCCATTAAACAAGTCATATCCGACGTCGATTGCGATCCCGTGGAGATTGACAACCTCGTTTGCCTGGGTGCATGTTTCAGTTATTCCATACCGAGGACGGTTCCTACCAACAACGGCGATGAAGTCAACTCGTACTGCGACTCGTGCCAACCCGTAAACACGCTATGGATTCCTGTGAGCATGACGAGAAATATAAATTATTATACAAGCACTGAGGCACTAAGAAGCAATCAATACGTACTTTCTGTTGCTATATAATTCTACCTCATGATTAACTTTTTGATAGCAATTAAATAAATATTATTTAGAGATATTCTCAAAATAATATTCTGCTACGAAATATGAAATCAATGCTACTGAAAATATTAAAATGTTACCAATAAAATAGAAAAAAGTCTACTTTCGGTTTTGCCTGGTACCTACAGTGTTCGTGCATTGTAATGATACACGCTCGGGAGTCGGGAAATTAAGTTCCTTTTTATCTATAAAATAATTATAACCTACCTATAAACCGTAGGTACAACTGAAGTGCAGCGATGGGTCGAATCACACGAAACGTGTACAGCTGATCAAAGAATGCCGGTGCTCGTCCTGTAGCCGACACTGGGAACTGGAAAATCCTCCGACGGACTTCGCAGACGAGAGAGCCTCCATACAGACATCGAGGTGAGCTGGTTGGGCGATGGCCGTTTGTTATAATTATATACCGATTAACTCACTTATCAGTGATAGAATGATTCAGATATATGCAACTGATGAAACTTGAACAAAACGAAAACGCTGAAAACGAAGAGACTTCTACGGACGCGGTGTCGAGGTCTGCGGACGACGTCAGTACACTTATATCATATTATTCATATTATTATTAATTACTATAGCTATACCTACGTATTTACGTACAAAGTTGAAAACAAGCTTATACGCGATTCATCATTTATGTTTAACGTGGATTTTTAGATTTTGGACGCAGTCAACTTGACTAGGCTGGCTTACGAGAAAAACATTTGGATCCGAGGTCCTCATCATTCGAAGGTGAGTATAAAACGAAACAAATACGTATTGTACTTGTATGAACATGTTAAGTAAATATGAGTCGTACAGACTACTACCTCGTAGTTACAGTTACCTATAATGAACTCGGATTTTCAGGTGCTATTAAGAAAAGAAAATATGGTAAGCGCGCCGAACGTCGCAGCCAACGACGATATCGCTCAACAATATTTGGGAGAAGGCGATGACAATAAGAATAAACTTTGACACGGATTTTTAACTATTTTATATATATATTATAATTTTATAGTTTTTTTAATTATTTGCATCAGTTACAAAATATATTATAATATAAAATATATATATGTTGAATTTACAATAATATTATACGACTTCGATGGTCGGAAAAACTCCTGATATAAAGGCAAATCATCACATGGGTGCGCTGCCAATCGATTCGTGTAATTTTTTTAACAACAAGTCCAAGTCTATGGCGTTCTGTTCGCATTGGGCGGCCATTTGACCTTCGGGTAATTCTTTCGGTTCATATTTCAACAAATTTTCGGCTTGTTCTAGATAAAACTTGGATCTCTGTTTGAAAAATAATACATACCATTAAAGTCTATAATTGTTAAATATCTATATAATAATTTGTAATAAGCTACGCTTGAGACAAACAACCAAACGCACGCGAAAACTCACCAACAGAGCCTCCATTACGGCATTGGTGTCATGCTGGGATCTCCTAGCGTCTTCCGCCATTACTGCGTGCAACTCGAACATCAAGGCGCCCCGAATTCGGCATTCGGCTACCGAAACAAAAACGACAGTAATAATGATAATTAAACAATTACAAATATCGTATACGGAATACGACATATAACTATAATAGGTACGCAAAAGTACAAAACAGCAGTTTTCAAATCTCACCTGGGAACAACACGTCCGCTACTTTTAAGACCTTCAGACACAGCTCACGTTTGTGACTCAACTGTTCCGGAGACAGCGTGTCCAGCGGCTGTCCTTCCATCTGCCCGTAGAGTTGTGCCAAGTTCAGGCGGACTTCGGTGAAGTAATAGTGGTTGGGATGCAAGTCGCCGGCCGACACGTAGTGGTCAAGGAACATGCTGCAGTGTTTAGGATCGCGGCGGTTCATCGCTGCCATATCTCGGCCCACGTGGGACAGCGAGAGTTCGATCTGGTTTGGGTCAGCGACCGTGGAACAAAAGTTGCAAGTCCACGCGATGTCGAACGGGTCGTCGGTAGACGGATGGACGTTCGGCAACGAGTATCCCATACAGTCTCTGAAAAGGCGAACGAGTTTAACACATAAGACATTTATATATTATATTTCGCATGTAAAAACGGTACGATCGTTCAAAAGCTATATTTTACATTTTATTACCTAAGTGATACATAACAATATTATCGGTAACAATATAGTAAATTACCTACTGTATTTAAATCGTTTTTTGCACATCATATGACTATCATCATTATTTTTCTTAACTTTTGAATTTTTTAGTTGAATAACACTTATGCACAATAAATTATAAATCTATTTATCTCTATATTTTATGCATATAAAAGCCAAATACCAGTCACTCACTCATCATTACATCTCAAAAACTATAACGTTGGAACCTTAAATTTGGAATAGTGATGGTTCCTCCAATGCGATAGATGTGCTATAATAAAATATTTTTTGAAATGTGCATTTCATCAGATTCACGATGGAAATTGGAAATTTCTTTTTTGTTTTTAAATAGTTTCCATTGATTGTAGATAAAAATTAAAAATAAGTATTTTTTTTTACATAAATGTTTGCAAAATGTTACTCGGTAGATGAGATAAAAGCATGCACCAAATTAGCACACTTATGTACTTGAATAAACAAATTATACCTATCTTAAAACAATTAAAATGACTATATGAGATATATCGATATAACGCCGTGTTTTGTATTAATTAATCATTATTTCCCGGGCAAAATTAGTTTATATAGCTATATCAAAAACCACTGGACAAGCGATGGCACATTTTATATTTGTTTCCAATCAGCTGTTATCTTCCGTAGGTTAGATTAAGTAAAAACAACAGACTTAGTATAACTTTGAAACTTAAGAGTCGGAAATTAGCCTCTTGCGTACTCACCTAGCGGGGTTTTGATAATATACTGCTCGCATAATCATCAGCAAGCCTCAGGGGCCCCCTATTTGGCATGGGCAACACTGAGTGTGATGGCCATAATATAATCAAACGTGCCCTAACTGAACAACTTAGAAAAATAGAAACTAAACAATGATAGCTTATAACTTGAAATGTTCACGATATCTCCGTACTACCATGTAAGTGCGTACTAAAAAAGAATTGTCCAAAATTCGAACTTTTAAGTTTAGTTTGCACAAAGATTTTGACATACACGATGGTCAATTGAAATCAAAAATTATTTTTTTATTTATAAATTATAGTTATCATTGGTTACAGTTAATAATAGACATAGTAAAACAAAGTTTTGAACACCATTCGGTACACCGAATATTAACGAACGAATTGAACAAAGAATGAATCATATACAATTATTATTTTTAACGTTTAACGAAGTACAAGGGGTCAGCTAGTATTATATAATATAATATACTATATCACCATACAATATTTCCCAGTAAAAATGTACATTTTCCAAATTTTTTTTATAAAAATTTAACTATTCCAAAATATCCGAATCTAATTTTGAAATTCACTCGGCACTCGTTTCCGAAAAATCAAAATTACGTATCTAGTGGGCGCTAGAAACATGCATGTATATCTTCATATTTTACAGGTATAATTATTAGCCCAGCTTATTTAATAGCGGGTTGCGTAGATACTATAAAGAAACTAACTCACTCAGTGGTACACTTGACTCCGCTAAAGTACGTTCCAAGTTCTGTGGGGTCGGAACACCTAGGACACTTGCAGACGAAGAATTTCGTGTCAGCCAGATGAGCGAGCCGCTGTGCAGTGCCCCATAGCACGTCCGTGTACGAGATGGACAGGTGTCCACCGCTCTCGACAGCCGCGGCCGCAGTTCTGATTAGCAGGTGGCCGTCACGCGTGAACGTCTTGGAGCAGTTGGGCACGCAGCTGTGCTCCAGCATCGAGCCCGCGTCGTAGATGGCCACGTACGGTGGATCGGTGAGCGGCACTTCGTGTCCGTTGACCTGCACGATCCCACAGACTCGGAGTATCTCTTCAACCGGCCATTCTGTCGGGTCTAGTTTGAAAAACCTACTCAAGTGGTCAGCAATCCATATGCGGTCCGCTTCGAACTTGGACCCGCCACGACGACTGGTGCAGTGGGACTCCAGCTTGGTTAGCTTGGCCCAGACTTCCGGGTTGTTGTGCTTCTGGTACATACACCTGATAACCGTAATCGACTGATAGCTAGGATGTGGGTTCGTGAAGTCTTTGATTTCTACCTACAGCAGGACGGAGTACATTATCACAATATATCCGTATACAAAATAGTCATCTGTTAACATTTATATAGATACATTTTTTGGGGGGGAGGGGACATCGAACCCGGACTGCACATTTCAAGGAGGCGTCAAAATCTTAAGACACGTAGATAAAACTTAAGAAAATAGTAAGTAATTGTATACCTATAAGTGTCATGACAAAATAGGCTTTTTATTTAAATTTACAACTCATAAACCATAATGAATATAACCTGTCGCGTTGTTTTCTTTTAATAACTTGCAAGTATAAGCGTTATGTAATTTTTGGATTGTTTTCTTGTTCCACACATTTTACATCTGGCTTAAATAATTACAAGTACTTTTTAATCTTTACAGTCAACAACTCGCCAACTACTATTGTTAAAAATGTATTATTTTTATATTTATAACACCAGGAAGTGCCAAGAACAATATTAAAAATGAAAAATGTACTATATTCATGATCCTGTTAATAACTAATTTTCAAGTTGTTCATCAACAATATAATGTGTATTATTCTTATAATTTCATCATCGGAAACGGAACACAAATGTCTACAAATTTTATTTTTTTGTATCTATCTAAAAAAAACTAATAAAATATATGCAAAGTATATAGGTTAAACGGATCATGTTGTTTTATATATAGGTGCCTACTACATATCCTACACCTATATAAAATCAGTGAAATATTGTTAAGGAATTTTTTTTCTTCAAAAAAGTTAACGGTACATTTCCGTTTTCCACTGGCGGAATCCGGTAAAAATGTGTAACTCCATCACGTAGTCCCTCGCACCCACCTTCTGCTTCCTCCGCGTCACTGTCCAGTCGCATTCGGCCTTGTGCCATTCGTCGTCCGAACAGTTGCTATCCGCGCACATAGGCCAACCGCATCGTTCGCACCTCGTCGCTGAGTCCGCGGTAATCGACTTCAGGCATCCCAAACACACCGGCCGGGTGACCTGAGACGGGCCCCGAATCAGCGGCCGTTCAACGAGCGCCACTTGCCACGCGGCCAAGTCCACATTGGCGGCCACGTACCTGCCGACCGTAGGGTCTTCCTCCACCTGAAACACCGAATTTGGGGTCAATCGAGTAACATTAAAAATTTTTTTACAGCGCTTATCCGAATCCTGATTTGTAAACATCGATAGTATCTAATATTTTCAAATATCCTCAGATTTTTTATGGCCTTCTAGCCTCAAGGATAACTGTCCTGTGACACTGGTCTGTTGTCATTTTGTCAATATTGAGTACAATATTAATAACTCTAAAACTAGGTGGTAGGCGGCACCTTCCTAATAATTATGTTCGTTGTACATTACCTATGCCTTATATGTAATATGTATACTGTTCATCATCATTCATCACTATGAAAAACAATTTTAAATGTATACTTAATATTAGAGTTGGATGTTTTTTATAGCATATTCTCAAGATGGTATTTTGAACAATATGACAGACAGCACTTTAAAAAAACAATTGTATATAGGTATACAATAGTACTAATGTAATACCTAGGAAAAACTGTCCTCCTATACGACTAAGAATTGGAAACTACTACTTAGAATTTCACTTTGAATATAACGCCGATTTTGAAATAATCATCTGCATTTTAAACAATCATTAGTGGAAAAACTTAAATCATTCAACTTGAGAATTTGAAGATCTAAAATCTGAATGAACGACCGTGTCCAAAAAATCACTCTGTGAAAGTATTATTGGGCAAGACAATTTGAAATCTATAGTTACGAGTTGGTATTGCACCCATACATGCCCCCGTTGGGTTTTAATTCGGTTAGGATTTTACACTTTTATCTCATATCAATCGCAGATCCTTGGTTCATCCCCATTTAAATTATGATTTTGCTAAACATTGTTTATA